ATGTGGTGCTGGGGATCGAACCGCGGTCCCTGTGCTTTGCCAAGCTTGTTTCAAGTAGGTGCTTTAGACCACTGAGCCATCTCTCCAGCCCCTTCCACTTGATTATTAACATCTTCTTCTTGTGATGTCACCTTTTGGTGGGCATTTACATGAGAAACAAGTATTTTTACATCCTTTGCCCATATGGAGAGGTCTACCCATATAACTCTTTCCCAAATATCTTTGTCACTGATTTTCCAATCATACTCCTTCCAAGTTTCTGACCAGCCAGCCAGACCATTGGCTCTGGCCCATGAGTTAGTATATAGTCACACATCTGGCCATTTCTTCTTCCAGGCAAAATGTACTACTAAGTGCACTGCCCGAAGTTCTGCCTACGGTGATGATTTCCCTTCACCAATGTCCTTTAGTAACATCCCAGAAAAGGGCTGTAATGCTTCAGCTGTGCACTTGCAGGTGGTGCTTGCACAGTGTGCAGAGCCATCTGTAAACCAGGCCCTAGTCTTCTCTTCTTCTGACAGCTGATTATATGACACATCCCACAAAGCCATAGGTGCATGCTGGGAAACAGAAGGCAATATAGGAGGCATAGAAGCCATAGATATCTGAGCAACCTCCTCATGTAATTTACTTGTATCCACTGTATCTGCCCTGGATCTATCATGAATATACCACTTCAATTTAATGATAAGACTATTGCTATGCATGTCCAACCTTATGACTTGGTAGATCAGATAATACCCAGGCCATGATAAGCAACTCAGGTTTAATGGTGACCTGGTATCCCACAGCCAAGCATTCAGTTTCCACCAATGCCCAGTAGCAGGCCAAGAGCTGTTTCTCAAAAGGAGAGTACTTGTCTGCAGATGATGGCAGAGCCTTGCTCCAAAATTATAAAGGCATCCGCTGCAATTCACATATGGGAGCTTGCCAGAGACTCCAAATGGCATCCCTATCTACCACTGACACTTCAAGTATCATTTCATCTGCTGGATCATATGATCCTAGGGGCAGAGCAGCCTGAACAGCAGCCTGGACCTATTGCAGGGCTTTACCCCGTTCTGGGCCCCACTCAAAATTAGCAGCTTTTTTAGTTACTCGGTAAATAGGCCAGAGTAAGATATCTAAGTAAGGAATAGTGTATCTCTAAAATCCAAGTAAGGCTACTAGGCACTGTACCTTTTTGTTCATAGGGGAAGTCAGATGCAACAACTTATCTTTTACCTTAGAAGGAATAGCTCTACATGCTCCACACCACTGGACTCCTAGAAACTTCATTGATGTAGAAGGACCTTGAATTTTTGTGGGATTTGTTTCCCATCCTCTGGCTCTCAAATGCTATACTAACAAATCCACAGTGGTTGCCACCTCCTGCTCACTAGGCCACATCAGCATAGCATCATCAATGTAATGGACCAGTGTGATACCTTGAGGAACAGAAAGGTGATCAAGATCCCTATGAATTGGGGAGATGGCTCAGTGGAATAAGTGCTTCCCTAAAGCGCAAGTGCCTGAGTTCAATCCCCGGTTCCGCCAAAAAAAAAAAAAAAAAAGATCCCTATGAACTAAGTTGTGACACAGGGCTAGAGAGTTAATATTCCCTTGTGGTAAGATAGTGAAGGTATACTGCTAGCCTTGCCAGCTGAAAGCAAATTGTTTCTGATGGTCCTTATGGATAGGTATGGAAAAGAAGGCATTTGCCAAATCAACAGCTGCATACCAACTACCAGGAGATGTGTTAATCTGCTCAAGCATGGAAACCACATCTGGCACCACAGCTGCAATTGAGTAAACTGATTCAGTTTATGGTAATCTACCATCATTCTCCAAGACCCATCTGTCTTCTGCACAGGCCAAATAGGAGAATTAAATGGAGACGTGGTGGGGAAGTCTCTTCCTCTCACACAACAATCTCATTAGCATCCAGAAACTCAACATCCTCAGCCTCCTCAGGATCCTCCCACACATCTCCATCCCAATTTATAGGATCCCATTCTTTTCCAATCAGTGCCCTCACTTTTGCTTCAGATACCCTCCGAGGCTGAGCATTAAATTTACATTGCAGCTCCACCAGTCAAATTATGAGGGTCTGCATGTGAGTTTCTGCAATTTCAGCCTTGTGGCCAAAAGAGAGGATATTATATTTCAGGACACACTGAGAAACCTTTACATTTCTTATCAACTCTTTGAGCTTCTTATTTTTACCTCATAAGTTTACCCAGTGAGGCTAAGACCAACCAGCCGGCATTATTTTATCCCTTACTCTGCCAAAGAAATTCAAAATTGCTATGTACAGAATTGCTAAATTCCTGACATCTCACAAGTGGCAAATGAGGATAATCAAATGGATCTAAAGGGCATATTAGTATAAACAGCTTGCACAAAGGATTATCAATATACTCCTTAAGATCAGGAGAGACCATGTTGTCTTTAGTCTCATCAAATCACGGAACCAACACCAAGAACTGAAGCCATTTAAAAATGCCATCATTATATTCTGTTCCTCTAGAGTCACTCTCAGTACCAAAATCTGTATCAGTCAGGGTTTTACTAGAGGTACACATATAACACAAGATGTACAGATTAGCTTACAATGCTCAGCCGCAGAGTTGGATGAGGAAGCGTGCAGAAGGCATCTGCACACCGGAGACTGAAGGATTCCATTCAAGGTCTAGAGACCACTGCAATGTTCTGTGCAAGTCTGTATCAGGAGGCCTATGGATCTATGATGGAAGGCTGAAGGATCCAAAGAAGAAGCCAAGAGTCTGTGCTAGAGCCAGGAGATGAAGTCCAAGCTGATGGCGAGGACTGGAGCTCCTCGGAGGAAGAATGGAACCCTCTATCCTTCCTCATTCTCCTTTAAATGATGAGTCACTCTAGGGTGTGCAACTGCTGAGCCAATTGAGCTAAGCTCTTAGCTTCTTAAGTTGATACAATCAACCAACCACTACACCCAGGAACCCAGGCCCATTGAGCCAGCCCCCAAACTGGGCATGGTGGCACATAGCTGTAATCCCAGTGCTAGAGAGGCTGAGACAGGAGGATCACTACGAGTCCAAACTGTGTAGCAAGACCCTGTATCAAAAAAAAAAAAAAAAAAAAAAAAAACTTTTTTTTTTTTTTTTTTTCGCGGAACCGGGGATTGAACTCAGATCCTTGCGTTTGCCAGTCAAGCACTTATCCTACTGAGCCATCTCCCCGGCCCCTTGTTTTGTTTTGTTTTGTTTAACTTTTTTAATTAATTTAAAACAATTTAAATGTAAAAAGAAAAGTAATGTTTTGGTGGCTGGAAGTATTACTCAATGATAAATTATGTGCTTGAAATACACAAGGCTCAACTTTGATTCCTTTTAACCCAGATAGTGCTACCATGATAAACAGTCTATTACTGGAGAATGAAAAGACATCAGTGGAATAAGATAGAGAATACAGAAACAGACCTAAACACGTATGGCATTTTAGTTCATATTAAAGGTGTCACTTCTAATCAGAAGACTGATATGTAATCTAGACTGATATGTAATCTAGCCTATGGGGTAAAACAGTGCTGGAGGAACTAAAATTTCTTAGTAAACATACAGACAGATTTACAGCTCCCTCCACTGAAATTACAACTGTATCAAAGAATTTACATAAAATAAATCCATATGATTTCTGAATAAAGCAATGCATGCATGCGTAAGTTTGTAGAGGATCCTGGCGTGGAAAAGGCTTTTCCAAGGACACCTGGCCAGTAAGGTGTAAGGTAAGTTTGATAAATTTGCCCAAATGTATAAGTTTCTTTGATCAAAAGTAAATAAATTCAAGCCTGAAACTCTTTGACAAATTGGGGAAGAGATGTTTGTAATACAAAAATAGAAAACATTTACTTTTTTTTTTTTTTGCGGAACTGGGGATTGAACTCAGGCCCCTGTGCTTGCCAGGGAAGCGCATATTCTACTGAGCCATCTCCCCAGCTCCAAGTGTCCTTAATTTACAGTTCTATACAGTAGACAAAATAAGGAATAGTAAACTCAAGTAATAAATGCAAAATTGAAAAATAAGCAAAATAAAATATATAAGCAGTCTTACAAAACAGGAAGAGGACCAAGAGATGGAGGAAGAAAGAAAGGGTAAGAGGAGAAGGGGATGTAAAAAGAATTCACTGTATTAAGTACAGGTGCCAGCTCCCCAGGAGGAATGAACTACTGATAATAAAATGAAAGTTTGTTTTTTGGTTTTTTTTTTAAAGAATTTTTTTTTTCAGGATATCTCTTTTTTTTTTTTTTAATTTTATTTATTTGTGTGTGTGTGTGTGTGTGTGTGGCCAGCTCAGCCCACCAGGGGGCGGGACTGGCTGGCATGTGGTGCTGGGGGATTGAACCGTGATCCCTGTGCTTTGCTAAGTTTGCTCCAAGTAGGTGCTTTAGACCACTGAGCCATCTCACCAACCCAAAATGAAAGTTTGAAAGGCAATAGTTAAAACACATACACACACACACACACACACACACACACACACATACACACACACACAGACACACACACAGAAAGACAGATAGACTAAAATTCTCAGCCTTGCACAAAAGTGAAGAAGTAATCCTAACAGTGACACGTGATTATCCTAGGCAACTAACAGGCAGCAGACACAGGGCACCACCAAGCCTAAGAACGCCCACAGCACAGCTGGAGCTGTGCAGTTGAGCAGCCTTGGATATGACTGACACTGTCATTTTCCTACATGAATGGATAAATTCAAGGACTCTTTCCAGAGAAAACTTTTACATCTGATTTCAATATTTATAAGAAAAAAAAATACAACACACTAAATTGACCTCCACATGGGTTTAGCTAAGCAAAGCACAGGAATAGCCATGTGCTTTACAGAAATGCCAGTATTAAAGAGAACAAAAGTTCTCTGAATGCTGATGGAAAAGACTAGCAAGGTATATTGTAAAGAGTAAAACAACTATAAATATAGTAGAAATATTTTGTGTAAACAAGTTTTTTTTGAAAAAATCAAAAATTAGCTTCCAACTAATGGCAGCTACTTCAAGGATAATTAAAGTAACAGGCAGAAGAGGAAGGCAATACCTTTATTATTATTTTTGCCTCAGAGATGGATTTTTATTAATTGAGAAGTTTTAATGAAAATCTTTGGTTAAAGAAAGTTTTTTCTTTTTCTGTTTTCTAGTACTGGGGATTGAACCCAGGGTCTTCACACTGAGCTGCATCCCTAGTCCCATTTTATTTTTATTTTTTTATATTCAGACAGGACTGCTCCAAGTCACTCAGCTGAACAACAAAAGGAAAATCTATTGTATTCAGTCACTGCTATTTTGAAGTTATTTGCTCAGTAGTAATTACCATACTCTAACATCTATAAGTGTCTAAAACAGATCTCTTGGTTCTTTTACCCAAGTTTACTTCCCTATCTATCTTTTCTATTTTGATAACTGACATCTTTCTCCATTCTATAATGCAAGTCAGAGGTCTTGATTCCCTTCTTTTCCTTAACCTCCCCCTACACACACACACACACACACACACACACACACACACCATAAACAAGGTCTACTGGTTCTGCACCTGTATCATTCCAGTTTTTCTAAGATAACAAACGAACCCAAGGCTCAGTGAGTTACAATAAGTATTCATGTCTCACATAACTACGGGCTGGCAGTCTGATGTGCTACACTTGGCAAACCTTGTTTGGCCTCAGCCTCACTCAGCTCAAGGCTGTAGATCAGGTTTGGGATCTGCAAACCACACATCTTGTTCTGACCTTCAGGCTGAAATCAGAATAATGGCTTCCTGAACCACATCCCTTGTATGGTGAGTGACAGAAGTACAAAAGAGATGACAAACATTAGGTTGAAATCTCAGCCATTGCCATGGTCTGAATGTATGCTCCAAAATTAAAGTACTGGAAATTTAATCTTCAACACCATAGTGTTTAGAGGGAAGGACTCACAGGAGGTGGTTAGACCCTGAGCCCTACTGAACAAACAGACATAGGAAGAACTCACAAGACTCAGTTCACTTACTTCCACTCTCACCCTTTGGCCGTGCACCATTTGAAGACACCACAAGAAGGCACTCGCAAAATGCCACCATCTTGATCTGGAACTTCCCAGTCTCCAAAAACTGTGAGAAATAAATTTCTGTCTATTATAAACTACCCAGTCTCAGGTATTCTGTTGTCATAGCACAAAATGGGCTACAATACTCATTACCTGTGACCAGCTTATTGTTTTTATTGGCCACTCCCCCTATTAAAATGTATTAGTTCCTGGCATCCAATAGACATTTTTTTTCTTGTTGTGGTTTTTTTCAGACAAGGTCTCACTATGTACCCAGGGTAGGCTCCAACTCTCAATCTTCCCACCAAGCCTCCTGAGTGCTCAGATTACAGCCATGAGCTACGCTACCTGGCACAAATGTTTATTAAATTAATGTTACATGAAACAACTCTGGGAAAGCAGTTTGAACCTATACTGTTAACAATCTTCAAGTATCATGTTTGAGAGTTTGGACTTCATTCTACAGGCATTGATCACAGTCACCAAACAACAGATCTACTCTAGAAAGAAAACTGTGATGGCAGTTGAGGACTTTTGAAAGGGAAACTGGTTAAAAAAAAAAAAAGATTTCAGTAATAGTCCAAATCAAAAACCATTCAAGCCTGAGTGAAGGCAAAGAGCTGAGGGAGGGAACCATCTTGAGGCATCATCAACACAAACTGGTAACAACAGTCATCTAATAGCCTACATGCTCTTCAAAACTGCTGAGCAAAACTGGTGTTATTTCACAGATTAGAAAAGCAAAACATGAATCCAAGGGCTTATGTCTCCCAAAATCACACAGCTAAGTAAGCAGCTTTCTTGGGATTCTAACACACGGTACCGCAGAACTGTCTGATTCCCAAGTCTGAGGAGTGAATGACAGGCAGCAATGCCAAGTTTCTAGCCAAGTAATTTTTTAGATGCTGTCCTTTGCTGAAATACATAAAGGTTTGATTGCAAACGAATTAATGTGACTGTGGATAGTCTGTGGGTAAAACCTGTAATGAAGTTACATTTTTCTACATAAAAAAGAAACTGAATCTGGATAACCTGCTCAAAAGAGTAATACAGACTCCACACAAGTTCAAGAGATGCCAGGAGGCTAGGGAACAACTTATGCATTCAGCTCGGCACTAAGAACTTAAGAACACCTGGGACACTGGAGTAACTAACTGTGTAACTTGCATCTTCCAGTAGCATATATCTGAGCAGATAATAAACAAATGAATTAAAATTACATCAGACAGTAGAAAATAAAATTAGGAAGGGGTACAAGACTGCCTTAAAAAAGGGTATAATTCCTAATGGAATAGTTAGAGAAATACATTCCTCTGCCCCACCCCCATCCTATAAAGAATGAGCCTCCTGATTGTCTCCACACTGGGGTTCATTTTTCCAAGGGCGAGGCCTGGGAGCAAGCATCTGATTGGCAAAGCCAAAGGCACACACCCACCCCTTTGCTCCTCTGCAGTAGTGGGGGGAGGCTTTAACTTTATAGAGTTATAGTATTACCTTCAAAGAACATGAAAAAGGGAATTTCCTTAAAGAGGAAAATGAATTCTAGCCAACCAAAATAGCCACAGGAATAGCTATAATCATTAAGAGTCAATGAACAGTGGGGGATTCAGGTCAACAATTTCTGACATTGCCAGTTAAACAGAAGACCCAATGCTATTATAGGCTACTGGACTCTTTTAGAATATTTTACTGAGTTTACACACCTATAATATTCAAATAACGGAACAAAAAAAATGGGTATACAGATGAATGTCCATTTTGTATCTGTGTATTCAAAGTGGTT